GTGGGTGGGGCGGCGGCGGGGGCCGGCGCTGCGCCCCCGGGGCTCGGCCGGCGGCCAGAACGGCTCCATCCTGCGGGCACAGCCTGGCTGCAGCCTCCTCCCCGGGGGGGTGGTCCTGTCCTCCCTCGGGATCAGCTCCAGCCTCCTTCCTCCCCATGGGTTGGTTCTATCCTCCCCTGGGATCATCTCCCACCTCCTCCCCATGGGTTGGTTCTATCCTGCCCCTGGGATCACCTCCCACCTCCTCCCCATGGGTTGGTTCTATCCTGCCCTTGGGATCACCTCCCACCTCCTCCCCATGGGTTGGTTCTATCCTGCCCTTGGGATCATCTCCCACCTCCTCCCCATGGGTTGGTTCTATCCTGCCCTTGGGATCACCTCCCACCTCCTCCCCATGGGTTGAGCTCCATCATCTCCATGGGATCACCTCCAACATCCACCCCAAGACTTTAGTTCCACCATCTCCATGAAGATGTTCCCACCCTCCTCCCAAAGGGTTGAGCTCCATCCTCCCCATGAGAGTAACTCCAACCTCTTCCCCAAGGCTTTAACTCCACCCTCCCCTTGGGATCACCCCCACCCTCCTTCCCATGGGTTCAGCTCCACCATGAGGACATCAACCTCTTCCCCATGGGTTCAGCTCCACCACCTCCATGAGGACATCAACCTCCTCCCCATGGGTTCAGCTCCCTCCTCCCTATGGCATTAGCTCCAACCTCCTCCCCACAGTTTCAGCTCCATCACCTCCATCAGGTTATCTCCTTCTCCTCCCCCCCTGGGGTTGTCTCCAACCTCTCCATAGGGTTCTCTCCATCCTCCTCCCCACAGGATTAGCCCCATGAGGACATCCCCAACCTTCTCCCCATGGAGTCTCCATCCTCCCCATGAACTGACCCCCATCCTCCCCATGGAATCATCTCCCACCTCCACCCCATGGGATCCTCTCCAGCCCCCTCTCCATGGGCTCCATCACCTCCACGAGGTCACCTCCACCCTTCTCCCCAGGGGCTTCTTCCCACCCCCCTCACGGGGTTACCTCCACCCC